CGAATGATTCGGTTGACTGACTCGGTGTTTTCACATTGGGGTGAATTGTCTAAAAATTGGGGGCGAATTGTTTGAGGGGCGAATTGTTCGAGGGGCGAATTATTCCGATACCGTTTACCTCTTTCTGCTGGTTTGACTATTTTAACTAGTTATACCGATTAAGCAAGATCGTGCATTTGGTGCAGCTGAACCATTTAAGCCAGTTATGCATTTCCTCCGGTTGAACCATTTGAGCTAGTTTGACCATTTGAACTGAGGAGGGCATTGGGGCCCATTAGAAACCTTAAAACCGTAGAAAAAATCATCCAAAACCGAAAAAACTCGATCAAAACCGAAAACGGCATGCAAAACTGTAAAATCGATACACTTTCACATCCCAGTTATTAAAACCCTGATCGTTTCCATACAGTGATGACAAGTGTAGCGTACAGAGTAAACTACACTAATTTCATGACAGGATCCATGAATACCATGCACTTGGTATTCGTATTTTCTAGTATCTGCTTAAATTAACAGCTGCGCTCTCGAGGAACTCGAGCGTGGTCTCTGCGGACTCAGCAGCCGGTAATGGAGCCTAATTAAAGTAAGGAAATTTGCACAAAAGCCCTCCATAGGATTGCAATTTTGCAGTCGCAAAAAGCTATAACTCTGGAAAGTTTCATCAAAAATCCCTGATCTAACATTTCCATTCGCGAACTAAGACCTGAAAGTTTGGAGATTCCATTGGAATGTTGAATCAATCAGTCGCGTATGGCCTGTAACTTGGTCACAAACTTCGAGGTGGCATTGATAAAGAAACTTTGGAAATGATCCGTGCTTAGCCGTGCCCTACGTGCAGGCGCGTAGCCGTACCCTCCCTTCTTTCCCCCCCTACCTCAGGGGAGGGGGAGGGTACGGCTACACGTAGGCTACCTAGGGATCCCTGCGATATTTCAATTGGTTTGTCACTCATTCCTCTCGATAAAATTTGCGTTTAGCGGCTATTCGAGATTAGTGGAGGCGCGTAGTTGCCGCTCAGATCGAAGAGAAACCGGAACCCAAATAGGTCTAATTGGAAAAACCGAAAACTGCATCGGATATCAAAGCCGAAAACCAGTTAGTATTTTTTGCGAAAACCGAAAACCAAATGCTAAAAAAACGGAAAATCCGCAAACCGCAATGACCATCAAACCAAAAAAACGAAGTTTTTTGGCACAAAAACCGAAAAACCGATCTAAAACGTAGCCAAAACTGCAAAACCGAAAATCCTAAATCCCCCCTTTGAACTACTTTAGCTAATTAAGATAGAATGTGAAATTTGTGCAATTTAACTGTTTTCGTTAGTTTGACTATTTTAGGTATTTGAATCTAGATTGTGCAGCTTGTGCAGTTGAACCATTTAAGCTAATTGTACATTTTTTCAAGTTAAACCATTTAGCTAGTTTGACCATTTGAACTACTTTAAACAACTACGATATATTTTTCAATTGTTTTCAGCTTAACGGTCTTCGCTAGTTTGATTATTTAACCAGTTGAGCCAATTGCGCTGAACTGTAAACTCTTTTTATTACATGAACAACGATTCACTGAAATCAAATGCATAAATCCGCTGAATAAAGCAAAATAACCGAGTCACAAAGGATAAGAAAGCTAAACAAAAACGATCGAATAGTACAAGTTATTTGTGTCTTGTCCCGCTAATAACAAATGAAATCTTGTTCGACAATCTTAGCAGAAACTAAAACTTAAACTCAAAACAGACTATGTGCTCTCGAAAACTTGATATCTTACTGTGACTGCAAAATAACCAGCGGTACACTGAAATATCTACTTGACTGTCCGCATTCGAATCAGGTCGCAGAAATGACATAACTACTTTCTAGGCAGAACCAATTCTGCTGGATCGTGCAGTTTGTGCAGGTTATGCAGTTGAACAATTTAAGCTAGTTTGATCAGTTGTACTACTTCAACCAATTAGTTATTCAACCAGTTAAGTTAGTTTGGTTATTTTAACTACTTTAACCAATTATGGTAGATTGTGGAGTTTGTGAGGTTGAACCTTATAAGATGCTTATGCATTTTTTTTTTCAGTTTAAGCATTTAAGCTGGTTTGAGCATTTTAACTATTTCAACAGGTTAAGCTAGATTGTGCAATTTGTCAGTTTAACTGTTTTCGCTAGTTTGACTATTTAACCAGGTAAACCAATTGAGCTAGTTTAACTGTTTTAACTACCTGAACCAATTCAGCTAGATTGTGCAGTTGAACAATTGAAGCTAGTTTGATCACTTGAACTACTTTAACTAAGTAAGATAGGTTGTGCAATTTGTACAGTTCAACTATTTCGCTAGTTCGACTATTTAGTTGAACCAATGAACCATTGCGCGGATGTGATTAAATTTGGCTGCTTACCTGCTGTAAACTGTCCAGCTTTATAGACTTTGAGTTTTCTACCTGTTGAGATTTACCTGCGTCCCTATACAGTCATTTAAAGATAGGTGAACTTGTCAATTGCGTAGAGTTTTGTGCCAATTAAATGACTGTAAGGTTAGTTGTATTGCTTCTTAGAGCTGGTGGGTACGTACGGTGAATCAAAAGTTCTCACAGGTTGTGCCCAAAGAGTTCATGCCATGATGCATCTGTTCTTCACAGTTACTATCCAGTGCACAATCATTTGCAAAATTTAGATCACGGATGGTGGTAAGACTGACCTCAAGTGTTTCCTTAAGTCGTCTACGATTGTGAAGCATGTGATCAGTTCTATAACGAGTTTCTACGCCTGCATCACCTTGTGAGAATGCACCTGGGAGCATTGTAGAGAGCATCATTGAGAAGAAGGTTGGGCGAGAACACATACGTGTTTCAAGCCATTGTTGACCGGGAAATATTTCCACAACTCACTATTTTACAAGTTCCATCATTTCATTAAGAAACTTTCCAATCATGGTGATGATAATAGAGGTGCATCTAGCTTTGAGATGACTTTCTATAGATCATCACGACTGACCGTGTCTAACGCCTTGGTCAGGTCAACAAAGGTGGTACAGAGGTCCTAGTGTTACTCCTGGATTTTCTCATAAAGTGACGAGCTGTAAATATCACATGTACTGTTCCGCTGCTGCTCGTTCGAAAGCTGCACGGACTCTCGGGCAGGAGACCTTGTGGCAAATGTTTGTGGAGTTTGTGAGGTTGAACCTTATAAGATGCTTATGCATTTTTTTTTCAGTTTAAGCATTTAAGCTGGTTTGAGCATTTTAACTATTTCAACCAGTTAAGCTGGATTGTGCAATTTGTCAGTTTAACTGTATTCGCCGAGAGTCGATTAGGCATGACTCTAGCAAGGAATTTGCCTAAAACTGACGGCGGTAACGGTGTTCCATCGTGGTTGTCGCAGGACTGCCTGTTTCCTCGCTCTTACAATTGGACAATAATAGCCTTATTGAAGTCTTGAGGTAGAACATCTTTGCTCCAAAAGGATTAGAACATTTCATACAGATTTTGGGTGACTATTTTATTACCTGCCTTTCATATTTACGCAGGAATGGCGTCTGCCCCTGGAGCCAGGTGTCTTGCATTTTTCTGAGATGCTCTTGAGTTTACTATTGCAGGCAATAAAGACTTTCATTTCGATACTGATGTTGCGCTGACTTGATAGGCAAGAAAGTGCTTACGTTTCTGCTCTAAGAGTTCCTTTATTTCCACACGTTGTCATCAAACCAATCCTGATTTTCCTAAGAGACCGAGCCTAACTGTTGCAGTGATGCAGTATAGAAAAATCCACTCCTCTTTAAGACTTGTTTCACGGAAATGGAGATCAGGAAGCTTATCCATGAGGTCACTGATGACTTAAGTTCATTCATTTTCCCGAATAAAAGATTCCAGTTCACATGGAGGAATATTAATTTCATAATCATCTCAACTATATCTCTGTGGCTTAACGGACGTTTCTTTTTTGGTGTTTTAATCTTCTGTAGTGTCACAGTAAGAACTGCAATAACTTAGGTGGCTTCGCCTCCTATATATAGGAGATGCGAATTTTTCACACCTTGTGCGAATGTTTTAAAGGTGTTTCTGAGAAATTGCACCACAATATCTCACCTTTTATGCAAAATTTTGTGATTATTTTGAAAAACATTGCTGAGGCCTATTTTGAGATATTAATAAAGTTGTGTTCAATATATGACATGATTTCAATTTGAGAGTTCTCTTACTTAATCTTGTGCACCATGACTTATAGATGAGAACTAGATCCTTGTAACAAGGATTCCCATTCTTCCCATCCTTCACATCCTTTCCTTCCTCCCCGCGAGCCAGTGATGATAAACATTTTTTTTTCGAGCTTTCTCTAACTAGTTATTTAGCGGTCCTACATTTTATTTGAATGTAAGAGCTCTTGCTGTTAGGTATCTAAATGAATATTCTGTGAGGTTTATTGAAAGCAATACTGAGAACTCCTGGAAAGGGTATTTTATCTAACAGGTATGTCACAGCAAGGTGCATGGCGTGATAATCTCACCGATCAAGCAATTGCAGACAGACGAATGATAGAACCAATATGATAGAATCTAATCACTGAACTACTGCATGATGCCACAGATGTTGGAATTTTTCAGTTCGCTCAAATAGATGAAACATAGCATTAATTTGCACTTAGCTCGATCATTAACCATTTACACCCTTAGGTTGGTACTCATATTCTCCACACTGATCTCTCTACATTTCCTGTGGTAAGGACAAGGAGAATTTGTTTAACAATCATGAGCTTTTCAAATTGGTTATTATTTTCATTTTTCTCATTACCTATATGTAATATATGCATGCCAATATGGCTGCCACGCTCTTTAGAGCTCTTGCAGTTTTCTATATTTTTACCTTCATAACTATGATAACAGTCGAAAGAGCTTATCGAAATCAATCTTTAACATCAAGATGCATTAGTTGGATGGCTAGATTTGAGCTGAGAGTATCCCGGTCTCGAAATCTCCGGGTAAGAAGGGCTATGGTGAAATGGAACAGTCGAGGCATGGTCTTCCTGGCCGCCCCTGAGAAGTTTGTTGTGCTCGACATTACTGTTAATATGGATGTCCATCCACATCCTGGACCTGAAGAAGTGGATAATGACCACGGTAAACGAAAACAGAGCTCCAACTCCTCGGACTCTGCTTGTCAACCTGCAATTGGGTCAGTCAGAATCCATTGCTCTCACAATCGTGACAGGCTACTTTCGCTGAGACGTTCGGCGGGCCGACCTGCGCCTCATGTTTTCGATACCCTTAAATCCCTGGGAATTCTGAAATACAGAGGTCCGGGATTACGAAGATTGGGGAAAATTACTAAAAATATCTCTGCATCGCAACACTCCGACAGATGTCGACCCATTGAAGTTGTTAAAACCCGGCGGTTTGCTAGACCTTATCGCTTCCAAGATCCCGCTAAGAACAGATATCTTACAGCTATTCCTCGAGAGCCTACTAAATCATCTACCGATTGCTCGGAGTTTGCCGTTCCCAAGTGTATGTTCATCAATATTTGCAGTCTCGCAAAAACTAAGAACAAAGTGCGTGCGGCGGTTGGACTTGAGGCTGACTTGCGATCTAAAGATATTGATGTTTGTGTCGTATCGGAAACACACCTCAAACCGGCACAACCGGATGCGATTGTAAATATTGAGAACTATTCCATCTTTCGTAGAGACAGAAATTGGAATGGCAGAGATATGCGCAATAAAGGGTGGGATTGCTATATACATCAGGAACAATCTTGCAGTAGAGGATGTTTACCGCTCTAGTCTTTATGAATTAATTTGTATAACTCTGCGACTTCCCAAGGGACATCGATTTGTAATATGTGGAATTTATCATCCCCCAAAATTTAATTATGCAGAGATCGATCTAATGAATCATCTTGTAAATACCGTGGATAATATACTAGACAAACATCCACAAACAGTTGTGTTGTGCGGTGGCGATGTCAACAAACTGGATATCAAACGCTTCGAAGAAATGTCTGGTTGGAATGCTCTGGTTAATTTCCCCACCAGAGGGAATTCTTGTTTGGACAACTGTTTCACGAACCGCACGGATCTCTTTTCAAAGTGCTATCCTTTCACATGCTCTCCAAGACGGATCACATGGGAGTTATTTTACCACCCGGTATAAAGCTTCCACCTATCCGCCGTAAAGTATACGTGCGTGACCAAAGGGCTCATAGAAAGCGTGATCTGTATATCGCGTTGGCGAAGGAAAACTGGGATGATATGATACAGGAAACTGATGTCGATGAAGTGGTTGGTAGGCTCGAAAATACCATCCTAGGGCACCTGGATAGCTGCATGCCTCTGAAAACAGTGCGCATGTCTTCAAGAGACCCAGGCTGGATGACTCCGCTCGTTCGATCGATGATACGAGCCAAATCACGCATATCACTCAGTAATCTAGACCGTCTTAAAGTTATGAATAAAAGGATCTCTGAAGTGATTTTCAGAAACAGAAGGGACTTTATCGCCTCTATTGGAACTCGGGATTGGTGGAAAAAAGTGGATAAAACATCTCAGCGCCGCAAGCCGGTGATTTCTCTATCTCTTGGCCACTACGAACTCAACGCGTTAAATGACTACTTTGGTGACCTATGTACTGACCACGCCTACAGAAAGCCAACACCTCTGGAGATTAGTGAAGATCAGGAAGTCCCAGAAATCTCAGAGCGACAAGTCCTGAATTCTCTTATGCGTATAAAGAAAACAGCAACCGGACCAGATGGCATCCCGTATACTATATGGAAAGACCACGCCGAGCTATTCGTTCCAGTGATCACCTGGATTTGGAATCTGTCTCTTAGAACACACGCCTGGCCTGTCTCTTGGAAAAAGTCAGACCTGTACCCCTTGCCGAAGGTTGATATACCTAAGGGAATATCAGACTTCCGCGGAATAAATGTGACACCTGTCATCGCAAGGTGCTTTGAGAAAGCTGTCTTAGGAACACACGCAAGGGAGACCTTCGATGAACATTCTGGGATCTCACAGTTTGCATACATAGAGGGAGGGAGCTGTACCAATGCTCTACTGACTATCCAACATACTGTCAATCAATATCTTGATATCCCAGAGTGCAAAGCGGTACGCCTATTCGCTATGGATTTCAGCAAGGCTTTTGATAGTGTGAAACACGATCTCCTCTCACACAAATTGAAGCAACTCCCCCTAAATCCTTTTATAGTTAACTGGTATCTAAGCTTTTTTGGAAGACAGGCAGCAGAGAGTCATTAGAAATGGGTTTATTGGAAAATGGAAAAGTGTCAACAAAGGTACCACCCAAGGAAGTGTCAGCGGGCCGCACTTGTTCAATGTCTTTCTCAGTGATTTAGAGATACACTTGGACAATAAGAGCGTGCTGGTAAAATATGCAGATGATACAACCATTATCTCGCCTGTGATAGGTGATAATGACAATTCTATCGCACTGATTAATCAGTTTTCCCAGTGGTCTAGAAGTAATGGTATGTGTAGCAATCCATCTAAGTGCAAGGAAATCATTTTCCGCAAGAAAGGTTGTACAATAGAGTTTCCGATGGTGTCTGGAATACCACAGACAAAAGAGCTTACTATTTTAGGGGTAACATTTCAGGAAGACAGTAGGTTCATAACACATATTCGGGAAAAACTAATTAAAGCAAACAAGTGCCTGTTCATTTTAAGATCTTTAAGGAAAGAAGGGTACAATCAGGCCGAAATAGACCATCTGTTTCTAAATCTGGTTCTACCAAATATATTATACGGGTTGTCCGTATTTGGCGCTGTAAATTCCGAATTAACAACAATCCAATGTTTCTTAGATCGATGTTATAAGCGCAAGTATACATCCGATCACATTAATGTTTATGAATTGTTAGTTCAACAGGACACGCGTATCTTCAAGAATGTTTTTAATAATACAATACACCCTTTAAGAGCTATAATGCCAAAAAAGAAATTAACCAAGTACAATCTGAGGAAAGAGACAAGTCACCATCCTAAAATAAACACTGATAGGTTCAAAAACACGTTTGTTAATCGCTTAATTTTTAAACATAATCTAGTCTTATAATTTTTATCTTGATTTTCTCTGTAATTTATATATATACCTTCTTTTAATGTTGTAACATAGGATATGTGATTATTTATCTTATGACTTAATAAAGATTCAATGAAGATTCAATGAATATACATTCAATTCAAGGTTGATACTGAAATGAGAAATTAGAAGCCAGTCACCCTTTAGAGTTAATGGGTTAATAACTCAGAATTGGACGTGAATGAAATCGCTCTTTAAAAAGAGAAAGAAGGGAAAAGAAAGCGTTTTTTATGACGGAATACAGGAAAAAAAAACTGCTGCAAACAAATGGAGATTTAATCATTATGATTACCCCTAGCTTAGTGCATGGTGAGCCAACATGGATATTCAATTTGTCCTTGATGTTTAAGCTAGCCTTGTGTTATGTATATTTGCTCTTGCACCTCAAAGGCACAAAAAAGCATCGATGAGATTTAGCGAGCTGCTTGTGATGAAGCCACAAAATAAAATGATAGTTTTAAGCAATTATTCGGACGTATAGGTAATAAATTGCTAAACAATGTTGAGATAAGCGCATACTCCATTGACTCTGCATGCACACTTTTACTATCCACACCAGGTCTACATGTTGAGGTCCTTAAGATTCAGAGCCCACGTATGCGTCCTAGAGTTTCAAAAATCTGATTACAGATTACTTGAGACTCGGAGGGTAACGGAAAGGCTCTGGATGTGCTCTAAGAGCCCTGACCCTGCCATCGCTGAGCATTTTTAAGGTCGATTATTGTCGAACGCGGATGAAATTTTTGGGGTATATTTGTTGTGTTTAACAATTGGTGCCGCTTTACTAATAGCCTTTTGTAACAGGGACGTTAAAGAGCCCTGTGACCTGCATCAGTTCTTTTTTTTTTTTTTTTTTTTTTTTTTTTCTTCCTTTTTTTCTCAAACACTTTTTTTTTTTTGGAGCAAAACGGACATATCGTTAAAGATTCCAAAATGATAGGAAAATTAAAGAGAAAATGTTCACAATAAGGCAAGTGCGAACGGTACCCTAAAACAAAGCACCACCCTAATGGTTACCTCGGCTGAAAACAGCCTACCATTCTCAAATAATGTTGCGCGCGTTGATTCTGTTATTTTTTAACATAGAGAGCAAATTACTAAAGGTTGATTGGTTCAGATAGAGGGAATTTTCCCTTTATTTTGGTAATTGCCCTAGGGAAAATAACCCAAATTTGAAATATCTTCTGTTCTGATTGGCACCTGAGCAGGCAAGATGGGCGCGGGACTGCCCGCTGTGATTCCGCGCGAAAACAGCTGGCCTCCTTTCCCGTCTCTCGAAATAAACAAGTCTTGATTCGTAATAAAGCGGCGATGTCTTTGCTCTATAATAAATCCGATATTGACCAAGCTTTTTCGGTCGAGGTGGCTGGATATTAGTGTCGTTCTCTTTTTTCCGTTTTTATGGAAATAAAACACAAAAAAGAACTGACCCAATATCTAGCCATCTTGACCTCACGCTTGGTCAATGACGCTATATGAAAAATTGCGTTACTTCCGATTCTTTCCAAATTTGGAGTATAAGATGTTGAAAATTAAAGCCAATTTGGTAGTTAAATGTGCACTACACAACTAATATTTCAAGTTCAATCGGCGTCGATGTGAGTCGATCTTATTTTATCCCCGTTGATGATGATTTAGAGGTTAAATTTATCATTGGAAACTCCGTAGATGGAATAGACAGTGGTGAAGGACGCAGACTTGATCGGGGGGTGGAAATTGAGATCGAGAAATCGAGAGCCATCGAACATATAGTTTTAAAAAGCATAGTCGTTCACCTCCAGTAGCCTATTTCTCATTCGCGTGCAGTTCCTGAGTTTTGATCAAAAATTTGTAACAAGTATCTGAGACCAAAGAGCCCCATAATTTACGCCAATGGATGTGATTCAACTATGCGATTCAAACCATGTGACGCGTAATACGATTGGTTGTTTTGTTGCCATAGAGAAATGCATATTTTGATTGTAAGCGATTACTAGTTAGTTTGTACGTGTGTTTTGTTTTAGTCAACTTCAATTTAGGAGCGGAACAAACCATTATCACATTGGTATTCTTAGCAAAGGAGAAGATGCTATAATTGAGGAGGTGAGTGAAACGTTTTCATCGGGTATAAATTCAGAATAACAAGTACAATCTTTTAATGCTTATCCTCAAAAATAACTCAGAATTTTTAAGCCCTGTTCAAACGGTCACGATAGTTCATGATAGTTGAAATAATCATTTGCCGTTATGTTTGCGTTCAAACATCTCATGATAGTTAATAATTGTTCACCGAAGTGGAGGTAAATATCAGGAAATTTAGTGTCAACAACTGAGTTGAAAACGTAAATTGGCCGCCGTAAAGAGTTAAAAAGCTAACGTTTCGAGCGTTATCCCATCGTCAGAGCGATTGACGAAGGACTAACGCTCGAAACGTCAGTTTTTTTTACTCTTTACGGTGGCCAATTACGTTTTCAACTCAGTTGTTATCTCTAAATTACCTGCTATACTCTCCCACCGACGCAGCACCACAGTATCTTTAGAAACTTACCCTCTGTATTCATGGGGGTAAATATCCATCATTTTCATCGACACTGAGGTGATTAATTTGTTTCAGTATATATAGTATATCACACAAGAACCATAAACTTAGTTTATTTCTTTTAATATACCGAAAAATGGTGGGAATTCAATTCTTGTTGTTCAATTTTTTCTCATCATCTGTTCGGAGGTGAATGGTACTTGCCATTCAATTCTGAACTAGCCAATCAGCACATGAAAAAAAAACCATTCACTGAATGTGTGTTATATACTAATTGATTATAGCTGTTGAAATCATACAATGGGATTTTACTGCCGGCTGATACCTAGTATCTTAGTGTGTGAAATTGTAAGCAAAATATCAGCCAAGAAGAGTGCTTATC